GTCGTTGGTTATAGCTGAAAGCTATATAGCCTGCAATTGTACTGTCATTTTTAGGTGTGTTTATTCTGTGCGGACACCGCATGCAAGTCTGCGTGCAGTGTCCAATGAAAATAGGACACGTAGAAATGCAGGCCTCACAATTTTAAAAATTAAATTTCTCATTTCCTACGGCATGACCCGACCCGAGCCTGGCTCAAAACACCTAAAAATTAAATTGTGCGCTTCACTAAAACATCAGATCAACGGAAAGCTAAACGTCGCCCGAGCCCGCAAAGCACCTTCATTCATTCTACAATCGTTTATGGTTTTGGAATCAGAAAAGCTAATTAAGAGAAGCTTAGGGTTTTTGTTGTTCGCCGGTCGAAGTAAATCGCGATTGCTCCTTACCAAGATGGAATCCGAGCCCATGCAGACGGAAACCGAAAAGAGCCCTGAGAGAATAGAGACCGAAGAGCCGTTGATAATGGAGAATGAAAAGGAATCGACAATGGAGGCCGATAAACGCAAGAAAAACGAAGAGAAAGGGCGTAAGAAGAAGAAAATTTAAGAGAGTTCATCCAGATAAATTTTATTTTTTTTGTTCTACTTTCATTGACAAAAATGTTAACAGAGTGTAAAAATTCATCCATATAGTATTGGACTAATTTTTTAGTAGTATTTGAGTAACAATCACTCAGGTATTTAGTTCAGAGTGACTGTTTTCATATAATATTTAAGTAGTATTTTAGTAGTATTTGAGTAATATTTGAGTAGTATTTTAGCTTATACTTGCTGTTTTTGAGTAACAAATCACAAGTTACCTAATATTACCATAATAATACTAGAATAACACCGAAATAAAATATTAATTTTAATAATAATACCAAACCAACACAACTGAAATATTATCTGAATATTACCTAAATAATACCAAACTAACACTACTTAACACTAATATTTGAGTAGTATTTTAGTAGTATTTGAGTAATATTTGAGTAGTATTTTAGCTAATACTTGTAGTTTTTGAGTAACAAATCACAAGTTCACCAAATGTTACCATAATAATACTAGAATAATGCCGGAATAAAACCTAAATTTTAATAATAATACGAAACAAATACTACTGAAATATTACCTGAATATTACCTAAATAATACAAAACTAACACTACCTAAATATTATCCAAGTAATACCTAAAGAAGACTGAATAAAACCTGAAGTTCAATTATACAACCGAAATAATACCAGAATAATATCTAAAAAACACTATAATAATTCCATTTATACTACCTGAATATACCTAATGTTTATTTTGCATTATTTTGTTTAATGTAGGTTGTGAACCCAAGGTCCATGAGCTGTAGATGTCAGTTGTCCGTAGTGAGAGATGTGCTTGATAAAGTTAGACCTGACATATCTGAAGACATCATGAATGAGTTGAAAATGAGGAATGTTGATCAGTTTTTTGCTCTTCCACCTTATCCCCAAGACAATGTCCTGACACTGCAAATATTGCAATGTTGGCAACATGAAAGAATTGTTTTCAAAATGGGTGGGAAAGATCTGAGAATAAATCCTGATGAAGTTGCCATTTTCATCGGTATATCAATAGAGGAGAAGTGTCAAAGCGGAAGAAAGCTCCATCATGTGGTGTGGATGCCCGCCAAATGAGGAATGATATTTTGAACTTTGGAACCGGGGAGTCTTCTTCCCCTTTTAATCAATTGTATATAAATTATTAGTTATTAAACTTATTCTTTTCTTCTAGCAATTTCAGTGTATCTAAAGGACTTTACAGCTTTGGCGAGAATGTACATACCTTTTTCCATTTAATTGGTCTGCTGCGCTCTGTGAATTCCTTATTGAGCAAATTAATGCAGTAGCCATTAAAATTAGGTGGAACTGACCTTTTGGATATATAAATGATTTTATTTTTTTGCTAACAATTAGTATCTCGTATAAATGTCAAAAAATATTTATTTTATTTGTGCAGAGCTGAATATGACTTTTCTTTTACACAGCTCTGGTTTTATGAGCACACTTCTTTGGTTACTCCTGTCACTCTTGAGGTCAGACCTCGAATGTTGAGGTGGCCAATAACTGTAAGCTGGAACTCATCACAGATTGATATAACCTTTAAGAGGCTTAATCCTGAACAGGCAAGTTACATTTAGTTGTTATTAAAAAATAAAATATTATGTTTGTTTGAGAGTTTTAATGATTAAAGCGTTTCTTTTTGAAATAAATTGTAGGTTCGTGATCATTTTTTGGATCTGAAAGAGGATGAACTAAATCTGCTCTTAAATCCAGATGAAGGATTACCCGGTCCAGTTCCATCACCAGAATTCCAAGGCAGACCAGAGGCAACTGTATCATTTGATATGGGGCCAGTTGTTTCCAGCGACATAGACAATGTACACCATAATAAATAAAAACATGGAATCAATAATTGAGCTGCTAAAAGGCCAAGAGAAATGGTTCACTGAATTTCAAGGAACCCTGAATACGATAACTATTGGAGTGTCAAGTTTGCAGTGGCAAATGTCAGTGCTATAAAATAAGATTGATAAATCTGAAGATACTTCAGCTGATAAAGGCAAAAAGGTGGGAGTAGATGATGCCCAACCAACCTCCCCTCATTTCAGAAGTCCTCATGATGTTGTATATAATGAGTTTGACATTGAGGAAGTCCCCCAATCGTTTCATGTGGGAGAAGAGGGAGCCCAGGAGAACATTGAGGGAGCCCAGCAATCGTCTCCTGTGGGAGATGAGGGAGCACAACAGTTGTCTCTTGTGGGAGAAGAGGGAGCCCAGGAGAACATTGAGGGAGCCCAGCAATCGTCTCCTGTGGGAGATGAGGGAGCACAACAGTTGTCTCTTGTGGGAGAAGAGGGAGCCCAGGAGAACATTGAGGGAGCCCAGCAATCGTCTCCTGTGGGAGAAGAGGAAGCACAACAGTTGTCTCCTATGGGAGAAGAGAGAACTCAACAGTCAGCTTATGTGGGAGAAGAGTGAATCCAACAAACCTCCCCTGTTGAAGGAGACACTGTTGAAGGCTCCCATAAACGGTTCGTTCGGAGCTTAATTCAAAGGGTTAAGGGCAGACAGAGTAAAAAAAAAGAAGAAATTGAGTTCTCCTTTCACTGCTTTCGAGTTCAAGAGAAGAAAAGTAATAAGAGAAGCCGCTGAGCCTATGTTGTCTGATAAAGATGCCGCTGTACATAAGAATGTCGGGGAGGGCAACATTCAATCAATTGTAGATGAAGAAGTACAAGGAGCAGTAGTACTGGAACTAACAACCCCCATTGCAGAGGAACAAAAAATAATTGAAGACGAAGAAGTAGAAGGATCAGTAGTCCTGACACTAACAACTTTAGGAGATCGCTAAGGAAAATATTCCTTAGCGAGCGATGTTATATCCTGGTTGTATTACGGTAATATTCAATGCAGGCTATCTTATACCACTCGTATCTACATCAATATTATCGAAATATCAAGGTTTAGATTTAACACTGCATCAAAAATTGTTGTTGGTAATATTAATCGAAGTCTATAATAAACTGGTAAAATATCAAACAAGATTAGTACTGCAAAAATTACATTAATTCTACAATAACAAACAATAATATTCATTCGTTGCAGTTTCTTGGTATTTTGCAGATCATTTAGGTCCATAAATAAGCTCGTACATGTGTCTGTAGGCAGTGATGTAGACAATTCCTCCTGCTTTTGGGCAATCAAAAAATGAATGTAAGTCAATAAGTATAATCTGATAATCATAATTAGTTCACAAATTACAAAGTGTTTCGAATTAAGTTATGTACCTGACTATATCAATTCGACATTGTAAATAGGTTTGGGTGGGATGGATGAAATGTATCTTGACTTGAGCCAACATCTTTGTCCTTTCCTATAATACAATGCTTCATGTTAGGGAGTTGTAAAGCAACATGTAGGAAGACAGGTTTATTAGTACTATTGGTAAAGCTTACTTTTTACTCTCCTGTTCTTCTCCCAAAAGCCTTTTAGCCTTGCATCAGATATTCCTTTTAACCACATCTTCGTTGGGTCGTTCAAATTGTGTTGTATATTCGGTGTCTTTTTTTTCTTTGACCTTGGCATTTCCCGGTGGTCTCTCTCATTCAGTATGGTCTCTGATTTGATTGTTAGTTTCTTTAATGTCTCCAGGACATTTTTCTGAGCAAGTTCATTATCTTGCGTTAATATACTGATTCAGTATGACAATTTATAAACGTGTGTTTGATATATGAGTCCAGTGATGCAACTTGGTGACGTTTGTGAATCTTTCAGAGGTTTATACCTATAACTGTTATATATATCCCTCTTTTCATGAACAGACCACCGTAATAATAAATATTTTTCAGAGATCTTTGTTATATTCTCATGACTAAGCATCCTTAGAGAGTGAGAACATAATAAACCCATTTTGCAAATGCAAGTAATTTTAGAATTACTTTTATCGACTTTAACAATCCAGGGTCTGCCTGTGTGTTCACTATCTAAGTTTCTGATGTAAAATTCAGAATCTTTGGTGGCTGAGCACTCCACAGCAAGTCCACACAAATCATGTTGCAACTCTGCTTCAAATATTGAATTTAACTTCCTCGTATAAAATAAAGCACCTTGCTCAACACGGGACTACTTATTACAGCGGGAATAATTGCGGACTGTTCACATTTAAAATTTTCATCGTTCGCATTCCTTCGCCAAGATTTCATGACATTTTCAAGACCCAAGAAACTTTCAGTGAGGCTGCTTGTTGTCTTGGAGGCATTATGACAGATGTTATTCATGGACTCGCTTCTTTGCGTTAAAAGGATCCTCATGCCAAATATTTTCTTATTGAATGTTGTTGACCACTTATGTCTGATATTGTACAAACTATTCAACCAAGCATTGTCATGCAGATTTTCTAGCTGAATCATTGTCCACCGGGTTTCTTCAAACTCCTCATCGGAGTTGCATCTACCCATGCATTTATAACAAAACTCATTGACTTGCTTGATGCTCACACCATAATGGAATTTTGAAGACAATTTCTTGTAAATATGTCATTGGCATAATCTATGTCTGATGTGCGAAAGACACTCTTCAATGGCTCTAGCCATTGCTTGATCCTGGTCAGTGAATATTGATATCGGATGTTTGTTATCTATTATCCGGATAAATGATTTAAATAGCCACTTGAATGAGTCAACTGTTTCATCTGACAAAAAGCCAACTCCAAATAGAACATTTTGCCAGTGGTGGTTCACACCGACAATAGGAGCACAACATAAATTGTATTTATTTAGTCTATAACTTGTATCAAATATTATGACATCCCTAAAGCAATTGTAATCAAGTTTGGATATCCCATCACTCCAAAAGAAATTCAACAAACTACCAGACTCATCAATCTGAACGTCCCATGAAAACATCATATCCTCAGCTTGTCTCTCAGTGAACAATCGTAGAAGAGAATTAGCGTCCTCATGTTCAATTTTACTTTTTCTCTCTCTTTGTATGAAATTATAAGAATCCATCTTCGTGCAATCTAGATTTTCCACACCCTCGAATTCTGTAACCAGAAAACTAAATGCATTGCTTATTCGAATCCCTGATTGTTTCATCGATCTCAGCACTTTTGCATTCATATCACTCATCTTTCTACTGGAATGCAATAGATGTTTTTCACCGTCCACACCCCCCGCAAAAAGGATGGTTCGGAAATTCTATAAATTTCTTAACCGTCCAGTTACCTTCGACATCGACGACATATCGGATCAAGGCTGGAAGACCAGTCCTTATGTCCCCTCTTCTGTACTTCACTGTCACATTGTTATTCAATTTTTCTTGAAATCAACTTTACCCCAAATGAAATCCTTTGTCTTAATCTTTTTAGAATTTGGCCAAAAACTAACGTGGTCCTTCCGCACAGTAAATCCAATTTGGTGTGCATATGCACAATATTGTTCATAGGCTTTCTTCTCATTATGAACCACTGTTCGAAGCAAGCTATCCGCAATTGGATCAATGCACATAGTTACAGGCTCGGGGAACTGCAAATTTTAATATATCACGATTAGAATGACAAAAATAACGCGTAAACAAAACCAAGTCATAAATCCAATAAGATTATGATGAATCGATACAGAAATAATACTATAATACATAATACCACCATAATAATACAGAAATAATATCATAATAACACAAATATAGTTCAGAGCCAATAATACAACAATAATACCATAATACAACGATAATAACATGGAAATAACACCAAAATAACACTAATTACAACGACAACATAACACAATGATAATGCCAAAACAGATGGAACATATTATTGTTGTATTATGACATTATAATAAAACAAATGTACAATTCAAAGCGACTGTCTTATTTTGGTGTTATTATGGTGATATTCTGGTGTTATTATGGTTATATTAAGATAATATAAGTAATTTTTTTCTTTCTGGTGATAGTGTTATTTTGGTTGTATAATGATTCTAAACCCTTAACTAAAAATCATGATAACACCCAGCCAACACCACGCCCATCCTCCAACATAACAGTAATGTTGCAATCAAATCATATAGTAATCAAACCATAATAGCTCCGCAATATTCCAAGCATCCCTAAACCCTAATAGCCCCAGTAAATAGAAAGAAATAAGTTCACCTGTGGAACGGTTCGGGCCTCAGCTAATAAGCTAAGCTCATTGGCATCATTCACCCAATCATTCACGCAGTCATTTTGCGATTCCATCAGCATTATTACTGGGTCGGGAGAGAAATCCATCGAAAGAACCCTAGCTGAATACGAACGCAAATGGAAAAATAAAATATTTCCTAACACCTAAAAGGATTTAAAGCTGGAAATTTACGATTTGGCGGGATCTAAAATACCAAAATATATGATTTGGCGGGATCAGAAAGTGACAAATAGATGTTTTTTTGATATTGGGCGGGTTCGGGCCGGGTCGAGCTGTAAAAATAATTTTTCCGCTTATTTTTTTCGCTGGTGGGTCATAACTCCAGCTGTCAGATTTTTATTGGCTACCGCAGGTAACCCTACGTGCGGTCTCCAGACTGAATAATTTTGTCATTTTTAGTGATTATTCTTGTAGCGAGTTTATTTTTTTTAATTTGGTACCTACCAGCAAATTTACATTCGATCCATTACAATCTTCATAATTGACCTCTCCAAATCCAAAGGTAATTGTGATATAAATCATAGAGACTTACAAAGTGCTTGATTAAAATGCTCAAATTATATAAAATTTACGATGTGCATTTCATGAGTTTCATGATAGAAAAAAGAAGAAGAAATAACGAGGAAGAGGTACATGTGCTATAAACCATAACACTTTTGCGAACAATCATAACAAAGTAGTTTCCTGGGATCTATTCACTAAATAAAATTTTTCAATGTTCCGTGGGAATTTGGAGTGGCAATTAAGTATAAATCGTTTTTCCTCTTGGCTGTGCCATCAAAATCCTCTTCCATGTCAAGATCCATTAGATCCTTTCCGCCTGGTAATTCCCAGTCAAAGTTTAAGAGAAGCAATGCAATAATGAGTTCTATGCCAGCCATTGCAAATGTAATTCCAGGGCAAATCCGTCGTCCAGACCCAAAAGGTAAGAACTCATAATTGGTTCCTTTAAAATCAATTGAACTCTCATTGAATCTCTCTGGACAAAAGCTTTCAGGGTTTTCCCAAATTTTGGAGTCTCTGGCAATTGCCCAAACATTAACAATCACTCGAGTTCCTGTTGGTATCACAAATCCGGAGAGCTTTATGGGCTCGGTGCATATTCTAGGAAGAAGCAAAGGTAAAGGTGGGTGCAATCTTAGAGTTTCTTTAATAACATTACGCAGGTAGTATAGGTCATCCATATCAATAGCTTCCACTTTCTTTTTTGCTCTAAAGGCTTCTCTTGCCTCCGTTTGAGCCTTAAACATGACTTCAGGGTGACGAATGAGCTCTGACATGATCCAACACAATGTGATTGAAGTTGACTCTGTGGCGGCTACAAGCATGTCCTGGACATAAAATAAAAAAAGTAATTATTTATTTGTAATATCAATGGTTTAAGTGTTGTGTATGTGATTATCCATTTTTAAAAATTAAAAATGGACAACGATTGTAATAGAAGATGTTTCAGATTTGATGGAACTTGCAATCTGCAAAATAACAAGAAATTTTGATAATCATATATTATGGGAGACAGGAGATGCTACTCACTAAGATCACAGCTTTAACGTTATCCATGGTAAGTGGGACCTGCAGCTCTCCTTTCGCTTGAATCCTCAGCAAAATATCAACCAAATCCTCCTCCATTCCCTCTGCAGCTACTACTGGCTTTTCTCTGTGCTCGGCAATTATCTCATCCAAAACATGATCCATCTCACGACGCAACCTCTTCATTTGGAAGTTGGATCCATCAAAAAAGCTAATAAGATGGCTAAAAGATGGAAACAAATCGGCAACCCTTAACATTGGAAGAAGCGCGATAGCCTCTGTCATGGCTGATATGAACCTTTGCCGGCTCCTACACTCCATCCCAAATGCTGTTCTAGTTATTAACAGGTTACTCACGGTTTGAAACACCTCCGTCATGTTCACCGGAGATCCAGCCATTGTTCGAAGCTTATAAAGAACATTATGAGCTTCTTCATATCTGATGGAACCTAAGGATTTAACCTTCTTATTGCTAAGGAGCTCTAGAGTGCATATTTTACGTAGCTGTCTCCAATAAGGGCCATATGGTGAGAAGCCAATGCCACCCGAGTTGTAGCCAACCGTCTCAACAGCCAAGAGTTTGGGTCGGGAGGCTAAGAAAATATCATGAGTACTGAGTACCTCATGTGCAGTAGACGGACTAGATGCTACCACGAAGTTTACTTGGCCAAGCTTAATATGAAACAGAGGGCCATATTTTTGAGCAAGCCTATAAAATTTCCAATGGGTTTGCTCTCCTGTATTAAGTTGGTGAATGCTTCCTATGAACGGAAGCTTCCATGGCCCTGGAGGGAATTTGTTGTTCTGTATTCTTCTATAGTTTTTTATGAAAAGAAGAAACAACAACGATGGGATCAAGATTATTAACAGGAATGTGGTGGGAAAACAGAGGAATTGCATGGTTATTCAGGACGTAGGTGCTACAATTCTTCTAGTGTAGAATTGAGGGCGTCTTGCCACATTTTTATACTGGTTTTAGCTTAGTTTTCATTCTGCAATTCGCATCCATCCGCTGTGAGTATGAAAGGAAATCCGCTGATATATTTATAATTCAGTTACTGTTAATGAGCTGTGATATTAAATGGTTATTTTAAATTTGTTGCCAACGATTCATTTTGGCATCTTCTGCATAATTCTTCATAAATGTCAGCAAAAGGCTTGCCGGTCAGTGAAAATGTACATTATCATCCAAATAAGGCCAATTATTTTTTACCATCTTGTTTTCTATTTGTATTTTAACTTACTCCGGCAAGCTATA